TACCACCTTATAGCCCCCATTCTTCTGAAGACCCATGACTCTTCCCAGGGCTTGAACCTTCTCATCCCTGTGTTAGACCGGATCCGATATGTGCAGAGTCTCAAGGAAATTGTCATCAACGTGCCTGAGCAATCAGCTGTGACTCTCGGTGAGGGGTGTAGGGTGACTTGGGTGCTCTGAGGCCATTAGGAGAAAGAGCTGATTGGGACCTGGAGGCCTGACCTTCCTTTCTCTCCTGCTCCTGCATTGCAGACAATGTAACTCTGCAAATTGATGGAGTCCTTTACCTGCGCATCATGGATCCTTACAAGGTATCTGTCTTCTGCTTTATTCAGTTCCTGAGTTGCTGTCACTAAAATTGTTTACCCAAGCTTCCTACGCTATCGATATTCCTTTTGATATTTCCAATACTCCTTTCGATAGGCCAGCTATGGTGTGGAGGACCCTGAGTATGCTGTCACCCAGCTAGCCCAGACGACCATGAGATCAGAGCTTGGCAAACTCTCTCTGGACAAAGTCTTCCGGGTAAGAAGATCTGAACCAGAGTTAGGGTTTGAAGACACAGGCTTGGCACTCTTAAGTCTTTTCTGGGGGTCAAGATCAGTCATAGGCCTTTCTCAGCTTAGACCCCTGATGAATGTGGACTGAGGCTTACAACCTCTTCTACACCTCTCTTCCTCCAGGAGCGGGAGTCCCTGAATGCTAACATTGTGGATGCCATCAACCAGGCAGCCGACTGCTGGGGCATCCGCTGCCTCCGTTATGAGATAAAGGATATCCATGTACCACCCCGAGTGAAAGAGTCCATGCAGATGCAGGTGGGGGCCAGGGAGAACTTCCGAAGCTCTAGTTGCATGGGAACCTGGACTCCCTTCCCTATTGTAATGGGTACAGTTGCTGGTCTGTATAAGAGTTTTACTCTGATTTCTTGTTAATCGATAAAACTGGGACCTTCCAGGTGGAGGCAGAACGGCGGAAACGGGCCACAGTTTTAGAGTCTGAGGGGACCCGAGAGTCAGCCATCAATGTGGCAGAAGGGAAGAAGCAGGCACAGATCCTGGCCTCTGAGGCAGAAAAGGCTGAACAAATAAACCAGGCAGCAGGTCAGCAGAACCTGAGGGAGGAACAGGGTGTTTGAGGGTTGGTGCTAGGACAGGAGCTTGGGGGTGCCCTGACCTCGTGGGTCAAGTTCTGTCTCTTCCAGGTGAAGCCAGTGCAGTTCTGGCCAAGGCCAAGGCTAAAGCTGAAGCTATTCGCATCCTGGCTGCAGCTCTGACACAACATGTGAGAGACCCCCAAGTGGGAGTGAGGGACAGAAATTGACAGTGGAAGAGGTTTTCTTACCTACCCTTGGGAGAAACCACTGCCTTTGTGGGGTCCATTGAGCCAGATTACATGGTCTTTTGTATTGTGATCTGCATATCCTCTTTCCAGGAACCTGACTTCTCTCCACTCTGCCATCCCACCCCACCCCATCCCACCCACCCCTCTAAATCTGTGATCTCTGATTTTATCCCTCCTGTGGCTACAGAATGGAAATGCAGCAGCCTCACTGACCGTTGCTGAGCAGTATGTCAGCGCATTCTCCAAACTGGCTAAGGACTCCAACACTATCCTGCTGCCTTCCAACCCCGGTGATGTCACCAGTATGGTGGCTCAGGTTAGAGTACCCTGAGGATTTGGCACAAAGCACCAGTGCCAGAGACTGAGACCCTACCCCCACCCTCACCATTTATACACCACAGAGGCTTTCAGAATGCTCTGAGACCCAGACCTCCCTTAATTCCACACAGAGAATGAAATTCTAAAGGTGAGACACCCCACTTACCTCTGGAGATTGGGAAGTGCTTGAGACTTTTTTTTTTTTAATGCAGCTACCTGCATTAAAATATAGTATTTTGAGAGTGCCCCTGCTCTGGTACTTTGTAAAATTCCTGGAACATGACTCCAAAGCTTTTAAGACTGCTGTTTGAGAGAGGAAGAAAGGAAAAACAAGCTGACTGACCACGGCCCCACCTTCTTTTTAGCCATTGGTGGGTTGTGCTACACCTTCTACCATATGTCCTCATGGCTCTCTCTGTTCCTCTCCTCAGGCTATGGGTGTGTATGGGGCCCTCACCAAAGCCCCAGTGCCAGGGGCCCAGGACTCAGTCTCCACTGGAAACAGCAGAGATGTCCAGGGCACGGATGCAAGTCTTAACGAGGAACTTGATCAGGTCAAGCTGAGTTAATGGAGCTGGGCTTGGCCAAAGAAGCTGGGGACAGAGAAGCAGCACTCCCAAACTCTGGCCCTAGCCTCCCTGCTGAGATTTTCGTTATTATTTTTTTATTTGAACTTCAATCATGTAATAAACTTGCTAGTAGCAAACCAGAAACTGTCCTCTCTGATTGAAAAATGAAGTTGAGAAAGTCATCGTTTTCCTTGGATGTTCACTCCCACCCTCTTGTCCTATGAGGTCTTGGGAGCCAATCCTCTGTGAGCAAGAATGACCCTAGTGGAATGTGAAGTCGCATTCCACCAGGGTGGAATGGATTAAGCCACATGTCCACTGAACTGCCAGCTGGGGAGCATAGTCCCTACCAAGGGTTGGGCTGTGAATTTGAGCAGGTGTTTGGGGGGATTTTTCATGGCAAAGAAGACTAACTTTGCAGGGTGGTACTGCTGAATGCTTCAAGGGACTTCAGGGAGATTGACACTCATTCATTTATTCAGAAGAATTTAATGATGTCTACAATGTGCCAAGCTCAGTGCTAGACATGAGTTACCCAAACAGCTGAGATGCAGCAGTGCTTCGTTTTACAGAATACAAGGTCAGGGAGGGGGAAAGCAAGGGAGAGATACAAAGTGGTAAGTGTTGTGATGGAGGAAGATTCTGACTGAGGGTTCCTGAAAGGAGAAGCACGTCAATTTATGGGCAGCAAAATTGCCGAGAACTCTGCCATTGAACTCAGGCTGGAAACATTAATGTGCTCACCAAGCTAAGGTTTGGGGCTCAAGTATGCACAGGCCCACCACTCCAGAAAAATAGGAGCATTCAGTTATTGGCTGTGGCTGAATGGTGGAGTGTTGGGAGGATGTGACTATGTGGCAAACACCAAGTCACAGGGTCCTGAAGAATTTGGACTTCATCCTCAAGGTAAGGGGTGGGAGAAGTCCATGAAAGGTTTCCCTCCTTCCCTTGAAGAACTTTAAGAAGATTCAGGTAACCATGTTAGTGTGTTAGATATAGCTGTTCTGCTGCAAAGTGGATAGGGGCTTTGAAGGAGAAATGGGAGGCTGGAAGAACAGTAAGAAGGCTGCTTCAGCGATCCCTGAAGGGTGATGAGGCCTGAACCGAGGAAAGGAGCCATTGGGTTGGATGTAGAGGGATGATGTGACATATTTCTGAATTAGAATTTATTTATCCATCTGATAACTATTGAACCCAAACTATATGCCCCAGGACACCAAGGATATAGTAATGAAAAAAATTCCCTGCTCTCAAGGAGTTTACATTCTATTCAGAAGGGACAAACTATTAGTAAGATGTATAGTATTTCAGGTGCTGATGCTAAGGAAATTAAGGGAAGAAAGGAAGATGGGGAATTGCAGAGGGTGGGGAGGGGTCTGTAATATTAAGTAGAGGATTCCAGGAAGCCTCACTGGTGTTATATTTGAATTTAGATATGGAGATGAGGGAAATCTGGGAGTAAATTAGGAGTAAATTTGAGTACCTGGGAGTAAGACTGGCAGAGGAGATTGATTGCAAATACAGAGGCCCTTAGGCAGATCATTTCTGTTTTATAACCAGAAGAGCAAAGACAGTAAAGGAAGCACAGAAGTGGCAGCTAGATGAATCAGGGAAGCTGGGAGCTGGTGTATAGACCTGTAGGGCTGTGTGGGGCCACTATAAAAACTCTGGTATGAAAAACCAGAGACAGGTTTTTTGTTTTTAACAGTGTCTTTACTGAGATACAATGCACATACAATTCACCCACTGAAAATATAAGTTCAGTAATTCGTAGTATATTCACAGCTGTGCAACCCAATGTTTAAACATTTCCACCACCGCTCCCCCATCCCCACCTGCCACAAAAACCCTGTACCCATTAGTAGTCACTTTCTTCTCCCCTAGCCCTAGGCAACCACTAATTAACTTTCTGTCTCTAGATTTATGTAATCACATAAATGGAATGATGTGATATTTTGTTTACCCTTCATGGGTGAGGGCCATATGGGTAGGTTTCACCTTTTGACTTACAGATAATGCTACTGTCTGTGAACATTAATGTGCAAGTTTTCGTTTGGATATGTTTTCATTTCTCTTAGGTATGAGTGGAATTGCTGGATCAAATTATATCTCTGTTTAACCTCTTGAAGAATTGCCTGAGTGTTTTCCGAAACTGCTGTACCATTTTACAATCCCAACAGCAGTGTATGACGGTTCGGAAGTCTCCACATCTATGGCAATACTTGTTATCTGTCATTTTGATTGTAACCATTCTAGTGGATTTGAAGTGGTATCTCTAGCATTTCCCTGATGGCTAACGTTGAACATCTTTTTGTGTGCTTATTGGTCAGTTATATACCTTTTTTTTTTTTTGAGAAATGTGTATTCAAATTATTTGCCCATTTTAGATTGGATTGTTTGCCTTTTTATTATTCAGTTTAAGATTCAGCGAGACTTGGAGAGAGGGAAAAATAAAATCTGTCAGTTGGAGTCACCTAATGGAAAAGGGGAAAATAATTATTATTTATCCCTATTTTACAGCTGAAGGGATACCCAATAATGACAGTGAGCAGAGGATATAGGGTTCAAACGGTTTGATTCCAGAGACCTAGCTCTTAGTCTTAAACAAGAATGGAAAGTAGCTCCCCGAACCTGTGTTCTAACTTTGTCTCTTGTCCCCAATTCTCCTAAATACTATAATCTCATTCAACTCTCCCTCTCACCAGCCGTGTGCTTCTTGCCGAATTTCTCGGAGGCGCCGGCAGATGGCGATGTGGCCCCCCGCGGGCCGCTCTGTTTGACGCGCGCGCATCTGTGGCGTCGGCCGCAGGTGCCGCCAAGGCATTTCCGGGCGCCATTCAAGGTGATCCACGGTCTCTGAGAACCCCATCGTGAAACCCCTCTCCTCGAAGTAAGGGAACTTCCCCCCAGCTCGCAGCCTAGGTGTCCGGTACTGGGGTTAGGGTGCCTAGGTGGCGGCCTAGCAGTCGCTGAAGGAAGCAGAGATATTCGGACGACTAGATCCCGGCGATGCCCAACTGGCCTTAGACCCCACGCCTCGCCCTGTTGCTCGAACCAGGTCTTCCCTCAGGTGATCCTGGCCGTCCGGAAGCGGAGTGTGACACCTCCCCTTGGTCCCCTCGGTCCCCGCCAGGCGGCGCCCTCATCCAGGCCCTCAGGGTTCCCCTGCGGCTGCGAGCCCTGCTCACCCCAGGGGTGTTGAGATTGGCGAGGAGAGGTGGCGAAATGGATCGTCAGAGAGCAGTCTACCACTTGAAATAAGTTTCCCTCGTGGACTGTGTTTTTCATCATTAGGCTCTCCTGGAGTACATGTGTGAATTCCTATGCTCCAATCCCAAAGATCCTGATTCAGTAGATCTGGGGAGGGGCCTGGAAATTGGCATTCTAATAGCCACTCTGGGTTGATGTCCGTAGTCCACGGATCTCACCTTCAGGAACGCTGATATAACTGGTGGAGAGAAACATTGCATTGGGTTGGCTGTGGAACTGTTTATCTTCAGGAAGGCTTCCAAGAGGAAGTGATTCTATCTGGGCTTTGCATTGAGGCACCAGAATACCCACTGGTTCTTTGCCCCACAGTGATGAATTCTCTTCCCCTCCACCACCACCAGGATGCAGAAGATCTCAGTGCCACCACCAGGATGCAGAAGATCTTCAGTGCTGCTCTTCCTGGTCTGGGTCAGCTTCCTCTTCTACGCTGGCATTGCCCTCTTCACTAGTGGTTTTCTGCTCACCCGTTTGGAGCTCACCAACCATAGCAGCTGCCAAGAGCCCCCAGGCCCCGGGCCCCTTCCATGGAGGAGACAAGGGGAGCCTGGGGCCTGCTGGATGGCTTCCAGATTCTCCCGGGTTGTGTTGGTGCTGATAGATGCTCTGCGATTTGACTTCGCCCAGCCACAGCACTCACACTTTCCTGGGAAGCCTTCTGTCTCTCTGCCCTTCCTGGGAAAATTGGACTCCTTGCAGAGGATCCTGGAGATTCAACCCCACCATGCCAGGCTCTACCAATCTAAGGCTGATCCTCCCACCACCACCATGCAGCGCCTTAAGGCCCTCACCACTGGCTCACTGCCTACCTTTATTGATGCTGGCAGTAACTTTGCCAGCTATGCCATAGTGGAAGACAATCTCATTAAGCAGCTCGCCAGTGCAGGTCAGTCTGGACCTCCTTTCAGGTTAGCGTACTTCGGCAAGTTTCTTCATTAGAAGTCAGAGAGCCAGAACTTGGAGTGTCTGGCTGCATGTTTGATTATGCTGTGGGAAAAGGGGGAAGAGAAAGAAACCATGTCCCTGCATGCAGGGAGCACAGGTCCAGGCTTTGTTCTTGTGGAGTTTCTAATCTGTGTGGGGTGCTAGTTTTACTTTTGGGGCACTCTCAGTAAAGGAGCAGGGGAGAAGCAAAGAGAAGATGTGGGTCTGGATATTGTCACAGGTGTGGAGGAGAGAGTGGAGGGTCAGGCCCTGTCTATTCACTGACTTGGGAAAAGCAAGGTCTACCCAGGAGAAACAGTAGCAGAGGTAGCCAGAGCCTAAGAACTAGCAGAGCCTTGTGTAAGAATAAGGAGTGAGAGGTCTGGGTGGAGTATGGTTATCAGGAAAAGTTTCCAGGCAGAAAATTTTAGACTTTGAAGGATAAAAGATTGCTGTGTAGAATTTCTGTGCCTTTGAGTGCATGATTGGGATTTCTGATGAGTCTTTAAAGGGCTCCCTCTCCTCTTTTCCCCTGCCCTGACTCCTGTTCAGGCTGTAACCCACTCTCATGCCCCTGCAGGAAGGCGTGTGGTCTTCATGGGAGATGACACCTGGAAAGACCTTTTTCCTGGAGCTTTCTCCCAAGCGTTCTTCTTCCCCTCCTTCAATGTCAGAGACCTGCACACAGTGGACAATGGCATCCTGGAACACCTCTACCCAACCAGTGAGCATGGGGCGAGAGGCAGGCCTAAGACTGGGGGCTGGGAGGGCTGCTTCAGTCCATGAAGTCTGAGCCTCCAGTGGGTGCAGTGGCTTGGTTTGTGTCCCTGGACATAGGAACATTGGAGCCTGGCTGGGTCTGAGGAGGCGGCCTTAGTCCCCTGTGCTCAGTGTTCTCCCCTTCACAGTGGACAGTGGTGAATGGGACGCACTGATTGCTCACTTCCTGGGTGTGGATCACTGTGGCCACAAGCATGGCCCTCACCACCCTGAAATGGCCAAGAAACTTAGCCAAATGGACCAGGTGATCCAGTGAGTGTGGGTATTATTTGGGGGATTGGGTTTGTGTCTGAGAATCTCAGGATATATGGTCCCAAGAGAAAAAGCCCTTCCCTTGGAGCCTCTTCCCTGGCTGGATTCCATCTTCTCTAGGCCTTTTTCTGAAGCTAAGGGCGTCATCCATCTTGAGTAGTTCAGTGTGTGGCTTTGGGCAATATGGTTATTACTGAAGAGATATCTCTCTGTCGAAGGTCTAGGCCCCCCCCTAATGAAAGTTATGGCTGGGGGTGAATGGGCCCCTGAGAGAAATTTTTATTCATCTCTATCCCTGACACATTCTTGGCTCCCAGAGGAGTTGTGGAGCGTCTGGAGAATGACACACTCCTGGTGGTGATTGGGGACCATGGAATGACCAAGAGCGGAGACCACGGAGGGGACAGCGAGCTGGAGATCTCAACTGCACTTTTTCTGTACAGTCCCACAGCACTCTTCCACAGGGCCCCACCAGAGGTAGGTATGCTTTGGTTTCCAGGTGTTCAGCCCGTGTCATGATCGCAGGATCCTTGTGGCTCCTTCTGTTTTAGGCCCCCCACTCTCACTTCCTACCTACACCCCTATGTCTGACTTCATCCCAAGCACTGACTTCAGCTCTGGTAAATATGTTAGCCCTGGCTGGTGTAGCTCAGTGGATTGAGCACAGGCCTGCGAACCAGAGGATTGCGGTTCAATTCCCAGTCAATGCGTATTCCTGGGTTGCAGACCAGTTCCCTGCAGGCCAGTTCCCAGCAGGGGATGCATGAAAGGCAACCATACATTGATGTTTCTCTCCCTCTCTTCTTCCCCTCTAAAGATAAATAAATAAACAAAATCTTAAAAAAAAATATGTTGACCCCTGTCTTTGTCCTCTAGGAGCCAGAGGTAGTTCCTCAAATCAACCTTGTGCCTACGCTGGCCCTGCTGCTGGGCCTGCCCATCCCATTTGGGAACATCGGGGAGGTGATGACTGAGCTGTTCTCAGAGGTTGAAGACTTCCAACCTCACTCGTCTGCTCTCAACCAAGCTTCAGCGCTCCATCTCAATGCCCAGCAGGTAGGTAATGGGTTGGGCTTCCAGGTGACAGAGCTACAGTAGACATGGGAGAAGCATAATGGCCCTGCTCTATTGTCCTTTGTTCAGTCTTAATCTTACCTTCCATAGCCATGGCCTCCTTCCATTGTCCCTCCCTTCCCCCCTGTCCTGGACAGAGTTTGGTTCCCTGATTTCCAGGTACCCCCTTTGGTAATACCTATCCTTACCTCTGTTCCAATTTCTGATCTGTTCCCCTTGGCCTCTGACCTTTTCTGCCAGGTGTCCCGATTTCTTCACACCTACTCAGCTGCTGCTCAGGACCTCCAGGTTGAGGAGCTTCATCGGCTCCATAACCTCTTCTCCAAGGCCTCTGCTGACTACCAGCGGCTTCTGCAGAGCCCCCAGAGGGCCGAGGCAGCACTACAGACTGTGATTGCTGAGCTGCAGCAGTTCCTGCGGGGAGTTCGGGCCATGTGCATTGACTCTTGGGCTCGTTTCTCTCTGGTCCGCATGGCAGGGGGTGCTGCTCTCTTGGCTGCTGGCTGCTTTCTCTGCCTGCTGATATCCCAGTGGGCAACATCCCCAGACTTCTACCCTTGCCCTCTCCTCCTAGTACCCATGGCCTGGGGTCTGGCTGGGGTTGTAGTGTTTGTAGGCCTCCTGGCAACTACTGAACTGAAGCTGGATCCAGTGGTTCTAGGCATTGTGGCTATAATGGGCTCACTCCTACATTTTCTTTGGAAAGTGTGGGCTGACTGGGGGTCCAAGAGGCCCCTGGCAGCCCTGCTTCCCACTCCTGGGCCTGTTCTATTCCTCTTGTTCATTCGCTTTGCTGCTTTCTTCTCTGATAGCTTTGTTGTAGCTGAGGCTAGGGCCACCCGCTTCCTTTTGTGCTCACTCATCCTATTCCTGCTTGCCCAGCTTCACTGGGAAGGCAAGCTGCTGCCTCCTAAGCTGCTCACAGTACCCCGCCTTGGCTTTTCATCGCCAGTGGGGCCCCTACAGCACAATGGAATGCATGCCCTGGGGCTTGGAGTTGGATTGCTTTTATGTATAAGACTAGCTGGTCTTTTTCATCGCTGCCCTGAAGAGACACCTGCTTGCCACTCCTCTCCCTGGCTGAGTCCCCTGGCATCCATGGTGGGGGGTCGAGCCAAGAATTTGTGGTACGGAGCTTGTGTGGGGGCTCTGGTGGCCCTGTCAGCTGCTGTACGCATGTGGCTTCACCGCTATGGTAATCTCAAGAGCCCTGAGCCCCCTGTGCTCTTTGTGCGGTGGGGGCTGCCCCTTATGGTACTGGGCACTGCTGCCTACTGGGCATTGGCATCGGGGGCAGATGAAGCACCGCCGCGTCTCCGGGCCCTCGTCGCTGGTGCATCAGTTGTGCTGCCCAGGGCTGTGGCAGCATTGGCTGCTTCAGGGCTCTTGCTGTTGCTCTGGAGGCCTGTGACAGTGCTGGCAGAGGCTACGATGGGTGTTCCAAGGACCAGGACTGTCCTCACTCCTTTCTCAGGTCTCCCAACTTCTCAGGCTGACCTGGATTATGTGGTTCTTCAAATCTACCGACAAATGCAGGAGGAGTTTCGGGGCCGGCTGGAAGGAACCAAATGTCAGGGTCCCCTGACCTTGGCTGCCTATCGGTTGGGGAATGTCTACTCAGCTGCTATGGTCACAGCCCTCACCCTCTTGGCCTTCCCACTTCTGCTATTGCACGCAGAGCGCATTAGCCTTGTGTTCCTGCTTCTGTTTCTGCAGAGCTTCCTCCTCCTGCATCTGCTTGCTGCTGGGATACCCATCAGCACCTCTGGTAAATACATATCTCAGCCCAACTTCATCCAGGGACAGTAGGAATGTGAGTTTTGTCCCTTCTGTTTTCAGGCTAGTGTTGTTCCTCAGGTTCTTCACCTTGATACAGGGTCTCATGCCCCACACAGTTGGGAAGGTCTTTCTAATATCCTCTTCCTTATCTGCTATAGCCAAGCTGACTGGCTGTCGGGGCCAGCAGGGTTCATGATGAGGGAGGGAAACAAGGAATACTCCAAGACTCATTCTTAAGGAAAAGCTGCATCTTCATGAACATATTTTCTGACTTCCCAGTCATGGGAATGGTGAATTATGAGTATATAAGGTCATAATGAGTGATATGTATGTGAGAGAAAAAGAGATTAACCACAGTGGGGTTCATATTAGAGTAATGGGGCTCTGTACCTTGGAGGGAATTAGAATTACAGAGTGTTGACTATAGGAGGTTGGGGTGATGGGTACATGTGTGTATAAGAATTAGCATTGAAGTAGTAGTAGTTGTATGCGACCGTGGGACAGTAGGCTACAGATTAGGGGATGGAATATGACTATAAAGAAGCATGTTTCTGTCCCCAGGTCCTTTTACTGTGTCGTGGCAGGCAGTCTCTGCTTGGGCTCTCATGGCCACACAGACCTTCTACTCCACGGGGCACCAGCCTGTCTTTCCAACTATCCATTGGCATGCAGCCTTTGTGGGATTCCCAGAAGGTCATGGCTCCTGCACCTGGCTGCCAGCTTTGTTGGTGGGAGCCAACACCTTTGCCTCCCACCTCCTCTTTGCAGGTACCTCCTCATTCCTTCTTTGCTTCTATTGTTTACTCTGGCTTTGAAGGGAAAGTAACTTCCTGGATTTGAGTAGAGTGATGTAATTTTTTTGGATCTCTGGTATCCCTTGGCCTATGTCAATTAGAAACTGAGTGGACTAGGGTGGTTGAGAACCGGCCTGGTGTGGCCCCCGGATCCTCCCTTGATTCTGGCCCTGCCTTCCTCTGAGACAGTAGGTTGCCCATTGCTCCTATTCTGGCCCTTCCTATGTGAGAGTCAAGGGTCCCAGAAGAGGCGGCAGCCCCCAGGGAATGAAGCTGAGGCCAGAGTCGGGCCTGAGGAAGAGGAGGAACCACTGATGGAGATGCGGCTCTGGAACAAACCTCACCACTTCAACGTAGCACTGCTGCAGCTGGGCCTCCAGTACCTCTTTGTCCTTGGTATTCAGGTGGGTACAGGGGAGAGATCATGGAGTTAGTGACCTTTTCTCATGTGTGCTCATCACATTCTTTTTTTCATACTTTGCTAAAACCCTGGGTGAGAGCCTTGACTGAGATACAGATAAGCGAAGTGGTTGCCCAAGGTAGTGGCCTCAGATGGCAATATTGAAACTTGAACCTGAATCTCCTTAATTCTAGGCTTAGAACTGTTTCTCTCTACAAGCTACCACTAGGACCCTGTTGGTTACATTTGGGAATACTCGTTGATGTTCAGAAAGGAAAGGCTGAGGTGGTGGCCAGGATTCTTTCCCAAGGTGTGGTCTTGGGCCCTCCTCCTAGCCTTCAGAGGCAGAGGGTGTGGTGTGAGTATGACTTCTTCCTCCATCCCGGGAGGCAGAGCCTGAGTGTTAGCAGCACAAATGGTGGGGCCAGGAAGAGAATTAGGTCTCTTCAGTGCCTGCCTGAGCCCAGGGTTTTTTCCACTGACACACCCTACTTTCCTACTCCTCTCATTCTTCACAGGGGCCTACAGCAGCTCTCTCTGACCTGCTTCCTCCTCCTCTTCCTGAGTAACTTGACTCCTCCTGTCCCTTAGATTCTGGCCTGTGCCTTGGCAGCCTCCATCCTCCGCAGGCATCTCATGGTGTGGAAGGTGTTTGCCCCCAAGTGAGTGGAGTTTGCTTGAGAAGTAGAGGTGTTGGGGAGGGTGGAACTGGGAACAAAGAATGATCATCCAGGGTGGACAGGGTTTTGCCTCAGCAGGGAAAAAAGGCTCTAGACCTACTCTTAGTGTTTCCTGATATTCTCCACCCTTTTTTGCAGGTTCATTTTTGAGGCAGTGGGCTTCATTGTGAGCAGTGTGGGACTTTTCCTGGGCCTATTTTTGGTGATGCGAGTGGATTGTGCTGTGAGCTCCTGGTACCGGCAGCTAGTTCTGGCCCAGCATAGGTAGCCTTGGCTGTGAGGGCCACGGAGAGAACTGGAGAACAATCTAGTCTGGCCTATACGGGTGCTGGGTCATCTGCAAGAGAGGCTCAGCCATACTTATTATCACCATGCAGCCAGGAGCTACTAGCATCTGGGACTTTATTATTTTATAATTAAAAATCATAATGGGGCCTGATCCTTAACTCCTGCTTTGGATGTATCTCAAGGACTGGGGGTAGTCTCCAACGTGGAATAAAATAATAATGTAAATATGTGTATTTGAGATGTGGGGAAGCACCTGCTATCTTAGAGGGGCAGTTGGGAGCGTCAGTCTCCCTGTCCACCAGACACAGGTGGAATCATCTGCAGAACCGCTTTACCTTTGGGGAATGGTTGGAGTTGTGTGAGTTCATTTACTCCAGCTCTTCCCAAATCACTCCCTCTATCTCACCTGCCATTTTCCTTTGCCATGCAGTATATTTTATTATACATTTATCTTTGACTGTTAAAAGAGATGGCTGGAAAGACAAGCCCAGGCATCTTGGAGCATACAGATTTTCACTGTCTAAAGCCCCAGTAGTGCTGTCTCCTCTACTGTGCCCTTTCATTCACCTCTGTGGAGGCCTCCCTAGTTTCCCAACCTGTGTTGCCTATTTTCAGACCTGCTTGCCCAGCTTAAACATTCCTTCTCCCCTTGACTATTCCTGGCTTGAAGCCAAAACTGTATGAATGTAATGCTCCTCATGCATGCCTGCCATGTCCTCCATCCACCTCACTATTCCTATGGCATTTGGAAGTCCCTGTGCAAAAGGAGTAAGGAAGAGGCTCTGAGGTTAGGACTGGGGTTTGAGATTTGAGAGTACTCAGGACAGGAGGAGATGAGACCACTGAAAGAGAAGAATGGATGTTAAAATTGTGGGGTAGCACCTACCTTTACTTGGCAGGGTAAGAAGCGAAGCTGAGTAACAGTGATTGTGCAGTAAAGGCATTCACTGCTGTGGTAGCTGAAGGAAGAGGTCTAGTTATTAATGGCCAACAGTCTCTAGTACTGTAGAGGTCAAGTTGGAAGATGATGAAAAGTATGTACTGTTTCAGGCAATTAGAGGATAGGGCATTGGACGCTGGCAGGGTTAGTTTTAATAATGCAAAGGGAGAGAAGTTAGGCCTCACCTAGCCTGTAGGATAAATTAGAAAGGAAAAAGTCCCACCCCCCTCCCTCAATCTGGTGAGCACAACTCCCAGGCGTCATTTAGTGAGCAGGAAGTACCTTAGAAAAGAAATAAAAAGATTTGTTCTCCATCCCTAGATCCATAGTAAGGATTTCAGACCCCACTTCCTTGCCCTGTCTTCAGGTTAGCTCATTGCCCATACCCCGGCTGCTTTTTCTTTACAGAGAGCCCCCTTCCCTGGAGCCTAAAGATAATCTTTTAAAGAAATATATTAGCACATTGATTTACATTATTAAAAATTCTTATCTCTGCCCTGGTTGGTGTGACTCAGTGGATTGAGTGCTGGCCTGTGAACCAAAGGGTTGTAGGTTTAAATCCCAGTTAGGATACATAACCTGGGTTTCGGGCCAGGTCCCCAGTTGGGGCCAGGTGAGAGGCAACCACACATTGATGTTTTTTTCCCTCCCTCCTTGTCTCTAAAAAATAAATAAATAAAATCTTTAAAAAAATAATTCTTATCTCTGCCTTTTACTCAACATCAAACATCCCATTGCATACTAACTCATTGTTTCTTTGTTTTCTTAAGATTTTATTTATTTTTAGGGAGGGAGAAAAGGAGAGAAACATTGATGTGCAAGGGAAATGTCTATCAATTACCTGTTTCTTGCCCCCAGCTGGGGACCTGGCCCACAACCCAGGCATGTGTCCTGACCCGGAATCAAACCAGCAACCTTTCAGTGTGCAGGATGACACTCAACCCACTGAGCCACATCTGTCAGGGCCTCATTGTTCCTTTTTCTAAAAAAAAAAAAAAAACTTTATTGAGGTACAATTTACCATAAAATTTACCCATTTAAACTGCATAGTTTAATGATTTTTTAGTGTATTCATGGTTTTACAGCCATCACCACAGTCAATCTTAGAACATTTCATCAACCTGCAAAGAAACTAGATACTCTTTCCTATCACTCCCATCCCTCCCCATCTCACTGCTAGCCTTAGGCAACCACTGTTGGCACTTCATAGAAAGGGGGATCGTACAATGTATGGCCTTTTGTGACTGGCTTTTTTGCACCCAGCTTAATGTTTTCAAGGTTCATCCATAGAGTAGCATGTATAAGTGCTTCATTCTTTTTAAAAGTTGAGGTAAAATTCACATAACACAACATTAACCATTTAAGAGTGTACAATTCACTGGCCCTTAGTACAATTTACATGGGCTGCCATCACTGCTATTCCATTTCCAGCACTCCCCAAAGAAATCACCCATTAGCACTTCCAATCTCCTTTGCCCTCGGCTTCTGACAACTATTAATATGTTTTCTGTCTCTGTGGATCGGCCTATTCTGGATATTTCATATAAATGGAATCATAATATGTGGCCTTTTCTGTCAGGCTTCTTGCCTAATGTTTTCAAGGTTCATCCATGCAGCATGGAATTGAACTGATGTCTCAGTGTGCGGGATGGCGCCCAACCCCAACCAGTCAGGGCAGTACTTTGTGGAGTTTTTTTTATGGCCAAATAATACTCCATTGTATGGATATGTTGCATTTTATGTAGTCACTCACCAATTGATGGACATTTGGGTTTGCACCTTGTGGTCATTAATAATGCCGCTATGAACATCCACACACAAGTTTTTGTTTGGACATATGTTTTCATTTTGGGGGGTATATACCTAGCGGTGTATTGTGAAATTGCTAGGTCACATGGTAATTCTGCTAAACTTGTTGAGGAGTTATAAAAACTTTAAAAGCTACCTCTGTTTTCCAAACCTACCGCACAATTTTATATTCCCACCAGCAGTGTATGGGAGTAGCAATTTCTGCATATCCATGCCAATACTTGTTATTCATCTTGTTTCTACCCATCCTGGTGGGTGTGAAGTGGTATCTCATTTTAGTTTTAGTTTACAGATCCTTGATGACTAATGCTGTTGGATATCTTTCTTGTGCATATTGGAAAACTGTCCATTTTGGTTCTTTTGTCTTTTAATTGGGTTGTCTCTTTATTATTGAGTTATAAGCATTGTTTTATATTCTAGATATAAGCCCCTTAACACATTTATGATTTGAAAATGTTTGAAGAAAATAATAAAAAATAAACTATTAAAAAACATTTTGTGGGTGGTTATTAATTTTTTTGACATGGTCCTTTGAAGCACAAAATTTTTAAGTTTTTTTTTGTTTATTTGTCTGATGGAGACTGGAAGCAGTACTATTTAGTTATATTGCTAATTAACCTTCAACTATTTGTATAGCATGTAAGAACAACATTTTTAAGTTTTTTTAAAGATTTTATTTATTAATAGAGAGAGAGGAAGGGAGAGAGAAAGAGAAGGGGAGAAACATCAACATGTGGTTGCCTCTCACCTGGCCCTCGCTGGGGACCTGGCCCGCAACCCAGGCATGTGCCCTGACTGGAAGTCAAACTGGTAACCCTTTAGTTCACAGCCCATGCTCAGTCCACTGAACTACACCAGTCAGGGCCAAAATTTTTAAGTTTTGATGAAGTTCATTTTATCCAACTTTTTCTTTTGCTGCTTGTCATTTTCATATATGTAAGAAACTTACCGAGTGCTACAATTTAGTTTTAGAAATTTTTTGTCACCCCCACAAATTCTTTGCGTTTTGTTTACAATCAATCTTTCATCCTACCCCAGGTCACTGTTCTTTGTCTTTACAATTTTCCATTTCTGAACATTTCATATTAATGGAAGCATGCAATAGGTAGTATTTTGTTTTGGCCTCTGACTTAGAATAAAGTTTGCAAGGTTCATCCATGTTGTTGCATGTATCACTTTTTGCCCCTTTTTATTGCTGAATCATATATTCTGTCCATGGCTATGATCGACTGATGGACATTTGGATTATTTCCAGTGCTTAGCTATTGTGAATATATTTTTTAAATAACTATGAACATTTGCATACAAGTCTTGATGTAGACATATATTTTCATTTCTGTTGGGAGGACTCCTTGGAGTGGAATTGCTGGGTCACATAAGTTTATGATTAATTTTTAGAGAAACTGCCAAACTGTTTCACAAAGTAACTGTACAATTTTATACTCCTACCATAAATGTGTGAGGGTTTCAGTTTCTCCACATCCTCATCAACATTTGGTAATATCTGCATTTTTTTTATTGTAACCATTTTCAGTATGGATGTGGTATCTCATGGGTTTAGTGTATATTTCCTTAATGGCTAATGATGTTGAGCATCTTTTTGTATGCTTCTTAGCCATTCATGTATCCTTTTGGTAAACTCTATTCATATTTTTCTGCATGCCTTAAAATGGTTCAAATATGTTGGGAACTGCTCTGCCTGGTTTCAGGAATTGTAAACAGTCTCTCATGCCTAAGGCTGAGTGAGCAGCCTCCAGAATTCCAGCCACAAAGAGACAAAGCTTGTCTCTGGTAGCAAACGCTGTCTCTGCTTCCTCTCCCTGCCCCCAAACTATGGTCAGATGGTCAGAGACAGGTGAGACCCCTCAGAGGAGAGGCAACCTAAGCCAGACACAATATCACTTAGGAGGCCATCATGGAAGGACTGGGGGGGGGCTGCAACAAAGAGGGAGTGATGGACCCTCAACCCCTGGCTTTGACGAAGCCCAAGTCCCCATGTCCTCTGGGAGAAGCACTTCCTTGCTCTAATCCACTTAAGCCTGAAGACCTGTGACAGGGAAGTCGGTGCAACCTATCATCAGCGAGTTTAGGTAATCTGGCAAGATAAAGAACTCTTAACAATTCTGTGAGACCTGCTTTGATTAGAATGCTTTTAGTTAAATGATAAAGGCCCAAGCAGAAAATGAGTTTATGTTCCCAAAGTTCTATAGCCTTTTAGCTGACCCTGACTTAGAAGAAGCCCTAATGGTTCTTTGTATACTATCTACTATTTACTGCCTAACAATGATTAATAAGTTGTACCTGAATTCCTCCTGCAAAAAAAAAACAATAAAAGGCTGTCTAGGCAAGGATCAGTGTGCCCTCTCTCACCTTGAGAGAGAGTTGCCAGGCCGCTCCAAGCCGCTCTCCCCTTGAGAGGGTGGCCAGGCAGTTCGGAGGCTCTCCCCACTTGAGGGAGTAGCCGTGCCCTTTTCCTCCACAGGATCCGGTAGTCCATGCGAATTTGTCTCATGTCTCATCCAAGATGCCACGGGCACTGCTGGTCAGTGCACGTGTCATAAATAAGTCTTTATTATTGATCTTTGAGAATAACATGTAGATACAAATCCATTATAAAGTATATGATTTGCAAATAATTTTTACCACTTTGTAGTTGAACTCTCTTGATGGTGTCTTCGTAGCATGAGAGGTGTTTTTGTTTTTAAGATCTTATTTATTTTTAGAGAGAGGGGAAGGGAGGGGTAAAGAGAGGGAGAGAAAGAAACATCGATGTGTCAGAAAAACATTATCAGGACTTCCGCCAAGATGGAGGTGTAGGTGGAAACACCTTGCATCCACACACAACCAAATCTAAAAACAACAAAGTTTTAACAATAATAAACGCAATCAAACCACACAGAAAATCAACAATACCGAGTCTGAAAACAACGAAATGCTCAGCTAAAACAGTAAGAGGGGCGGAGCCAGCAGCGGAGCGGGTTGGCCAAAAAGATCCCCACCGACCAGGTGGTGAGCACGCAGCCGAAGGTGCTGATCCCAGGTGTGGGCTAGCTTCAGGCGGACACAGGAAAGAGGTGCGGCTGACTGCGGTCAGTGGAGCATTTGCGTACAGATAAATCAGTGAAGAGGTGAGCATTGAGACCGCAGGGCGCAGGGTGGAGGCTCACACATTTCCGCTCGGATAAACAGGCCAGGGCAAGCAGCGGGATGGACAGGGCGAGCAGAGAGGACCGCCATTGCTTCCTCTCTGACCCCGCCCCCACAAAACAGCGTCACAAATCTGCGACCTTGGTGGCCCCACCCTGGTAAACAACTAAGGCTCCGCTACTCATACTTAATGGGTGCAAACAGACCAAAAATGGCTCAAGAACAACTCAGAGCCCCAAAGCCGATAAATCTAAGTGATGAAGAAATAGCCAAACTTTCAGATGCACAGTTCAAAACACTGGTGATCAGGATCCTCACAGAACTAGTTGATTTTAGTCACAAATTAGAGAAACATATGAAAGCTAAAGTAATTGAAATGAATGGTAATGCACAGGAAACCAATAGTAATGGAAAGGAAACTGGGACTCAAGTCAAGGGAGTAGACCAGAAGGAAGAAAAAAATGACCAACCAGAAAAGAATGAAGAAACAAGAATTCAAAAAAATGAGGAGAGGCTTAGGAACCTCCAGGACATCTTTAAACGTTCCAACATCCGAATTATAGGGTACCAGAAGGGGAAGAGGAACAGTCCCCAGTGGAAACCTTATTTGAACAAATAATAAAGGAGAACTTTCCCAATCTGGCAAAGGAAATAAACTTCCAGGAAATCCAGGAAGCTCAGAGAGTCCCAAAGAAGTTGGACCCAAGAAGGAACACACCAAGGCACATCATCATTACATTAGCCAAGATTAAAATGAAGGAGAGAATCCTAGAAGCAGCAAGAGATAAGGGGACAGTCACCTACAAAGGAGTTCCCATCAGACTGTCAGCTGATTTCTCAAAAGAGACCTTACAGGCAAGAAGGGGCTGGAAAGAGGTATTCCAAGTCATGAAAACCAAAGACCTACAAACAAGATTGCTCTATCCAGCAAAGTTTTCATTTAGAATGGAAGGACAGATAAAGTGCTTCTCAGATAAGACCAAATTCAAGGAGTTCATCATCACCAAGTCCTTATTATATGAAATGTTAAAGGGACTTACCTAAGAAAAAGAAGATAAAAAAGATGAACGGTGAAAGGACAGCAAACTCACAGTTAGTAACAACCACACCTAAAACAAAAGCAAATTAAGAGGACAGCTAGATCAGGAGCAAACCATAGAAATGAAGATCACGTGGAAGATTAGCAACAGGGTAGTGGGAGGAGATGGGGGGAGAAGGTACAGAAAATAAGTAGCATAGATGGTAGATAAGAAAATAGATAGGGGGGAGCTTAAGAATAGTAGGGGAAATACAGAATCTAAAGAACTTGAGACACGTGTTCATGAACTAAAGGGGGGGAATGGTGGGGGAGGGGTGTGCAGGGTGGAGGGGAATGGGGGGGGAATAGAATAAATGTAATGGCATAATCAATAAAAAATGTTTAAAAAAAAAAAGAAAAACATTATCATAGGATGCCTCTTGCACGCGGCCAGCTGGGGACCTGCCTGCAATCCATACTTATGTTCTGCCGGTTCAAACTGTAGACCTTACGGTTTATAGGCCCGTGCTCAATCCACTGAGCCACACCAGCCAGGGCTATAGCATGAATTTTTAATTTTAATAAGGTCCAACCTGCCCATTTTGAGTTGATTTTAGGTGTGGCATACGAATATCCAGTTCTCCTATCTCCATTTTCTGAAGGGAAGGGATTGAGCAGTGCAGGCTGCACAAACACAGGGCTGCGCTGCCAGCAGTGAGACTGCATGAGGTGAGTGTGTCGATGATATTCTATGGTGAGCAGACGAAGGATGGCCGTATACCGAGCCTTGGTCTCCCTCCCGTCAGTTCCTTTGGGAGAGACTTTCTTCCTGCTGGACTTTTCAAGCGGCAGTCAGTGGTACTGCGACTCCCAGCATGCATCGCGCGGGTCTGCCCTCCGAGGGGAGGGAAATCCAACAGACCTGGAAGTGTGGCTGGGGAGGGAGGGCTGAGACACGGGCTCTGGTTTCAATATCGGTTTCTCAAGGCCTACAAGCCGAACCGGTGGACCACAGATCCGTAGGAACTTTATCAGACATAAAGTCCCGCCTTTTGCCCGCCTCAGCCTTCCTCACCGGTCTGTCCATACTCGTTTGTTTTTCGAGTTTCCCGCGGGCACCATCCCTTGAAGACGACCAACCACAACCGAGTTTTGTTAGCCTGGCCAACCAGAGGCGAGGGTGAGCGAGCCCCGCCAGGCTTGGGAGAGAGGGTCCGGTTCTCTGGGAGTTGAACAGAGGAGACGCAGTGGGGTGCGGAGGTGCACTAGCTCCTCCCAGCGCGCGTGGGTACTGTGGGTCAATGGGCTGACCCTTTTGCAGGCCTCCAGGTGTTCGGGCCCGGCCTCGGCCACCATGTCCCACCAGCCCCCTCTGGGTTCCTCAGTGCCACAAGTCAACTGCCTGGACCTGTGGAGGGCAGAGAATGACCGGCTAGTACGACAGGCCAAGGTAACGCGGTTGCTTGGACTCTGGCTTTTCAGCTCCAAAGTACGAGAAAGAGGGTTTGTTATGGATTTACCCCAGCAAGTGGGGGCGGGGAGACTGAGCTTGACCTCCCCTTAAAGTTAGAAATGACTGGAGAAGGACATCCCTTGCCACTGCTGCAGGAGGAGAGGAAAGGACTTACTCTCAGTGACACTATACCCCACATTTGACAGGTGGCTCAGGACTCGGGTCTGTCTCTGAGGCGGCAGCAGTTGGCTCAAGATGCACTGGAAGGGTTCAGGGGACTCCTCCATAGTCTGCAGGGTAAGCAGGGTTCCCCCCCCCCCAAGGGTGGTCAGTGCTGCCCCCCACCCCCCAACATATACACCCTCCACAGCCAGAGACTAGTTCCTCTTCTTCCATTTCTGGGATTGAGGCAATTACTCGGGACAGGGGCACAGAGATGAGTGGAGTGGATCGTCTTTGTATACTCGTCATTATTATATGCACACACAACAGCAATAGCAGCATTTGAAGAAGTGGTTTCCAGAATTGTTTAATCTGGAGAACTTTTTGCCCTTTCCAAACTCTATCCAAAGGGTGTGTTCTCTTTGAAGGCCATTTGGTTGAGGTGGGGTGATCTGTGGTTTGGGACCTTATTCAGGGAATTTTTCATGGGGGAGCAGCTTGGGAGACCAGCATTTGTCACTCTAGGGCTCCCTGCAGCTGTTCTTGTTCTACCCTTGGAATTGACTGTTATCTGCAACTTCACTACCTTGAGGGCGAGCCTGGCCCAGGGTTTCACTGAGGACCAGGCACAGGATATCCAACGTGGCCTAGAGAGAGGTGAGGTCCAGAGATTCTCTCCCATACCCCTGCCAGCCTCAGTCCTTGCGAGGAGGATGGGAGTAACAACATAATCTGTCACCTCCATGAAGGGAGATGCCCTTCTCTGATCCTCCATGTGCTCCTCAGACTAGGAGCATCTTTCTGGTCTTTGTGCTCCTGCATAAAAGGAAAGCCAGAGATGAGGTCCTGTCTCAGCTGTATGTGTGTGTCCACTATAGTGCTGGAAACCCAGAAGCAGCTGGGGCCCAGGCTGGAAGGTGGACTCATGGAGCTGTGGAACTCCATCCTCCACGTATCCTCCCTTCCACTGAGGCTGCTCCCTGCCCTTCATCATCTGGCGGGCCTGCAGGCTGCTCTCTGGCTAAGCACTGATCGTCTTGGGGACTTGACCTTGCTGCTGCAGACCCTGAACAGCAGCCAGGTAATTTAGGAAGTGACCTGGATCTAAGTAAGGGTATTTTCCTTCCTCTCTCCCCTCCAAGCTGCAGTAGCATCATTATGTGCTGGAAAGGGTGCTGGGTTGGTGGTCATTAGACCTGGGTTCTCTCAAGGAATCTTAGGTGACCTTGCTCTGGTTGGTCCCACATTGAAGGGATTGGATTCTCTTGGGTGTTTTTAAAATAGCTTAATAATCTTGGATAGGGTTAGGGCTTTCTTGACCATGCTGAAGTCACTTCCCAGTCTCAGTCTTTTCATAAGTAACTCAAACATGGCCCTTGCCCTGTGTCCTCATGGACTTATTAAGTGAGGAGGTGCACTAGAATATATTATCACTGCCCTGGGTTTGTCTTCCTCCCTTTATCCTTTCCCCACAGCTACCAGTCTCTTAGAAATGAGGGAACAGGAATCAGGAGGACCTTTGAATTCAAGGTCCAGCCAGGGTAGACTGAGACAGGAGAAGAGTTACAGGCTTGGATCCTCTGATGGTCCTTTTCTCCCCAGAATGAGGCCTCTGGGGATCTGCTGATCCTTCTAAAAACGTGGAGTCCCCCAGCTAAGGAGTCAGATGACCCACTGACCCTGCAGGATGCCCAGGGATTGAGGGATGTCCTTCTGACAGCATCTGCCTTTCGCCAAGGTCAGTTAGCAGTCTAACTCATTCCTTCCCCACCACTCCCCATCTTAGGGGGCCTCTAGACTCATGACTTTCCTGTCGTGTCTTATTTAACTCATGCCCTGTGGGCCTGTCTAAGCTCACACTCTGATTGCTCTCAGGCCTCCAGGAGCTGATCACAGGGAGTCTGCCCAGAGCATTGAGCAGCCTGTATGAAGCGGCCTCAGGTCTGTGCCCACGGCCTGTGTTGGTCCAGGTGTACACAGCACTGGGGACCTGTCTCCGAAAGATGGTAAAGACAATGCTAGGGTGGGTTAGGACAGCTTTTTTCTTTGTGAGGGTGGCTGAGGCTTGTGTCCTCTCACCCCTCTAGGGCAATCCACAGAGAGCTCTGCTATACTTGGTTGCAGCCCTGAAAGGGGAGTCAATCTGTGGTCCCCCACTTCTGGAGGCCTCGAGGCTATATCGGCAACTGGGGAACACAGCGGCAGAGCTGGAGAGTCTGGAACTTCTGGTTGAGGTAAAGAACTGTACCAACTGAAGATACGGGGATTGCTGAGGTACTTGTGTGGATGAGACTAGTCAAGTATAAGCGGAAGGAAGTATGACTCCCAAAGATTATAGATATACTTTCTTCTTTTGTCCCTTTTAGGCCTTGAATGTCATTCCCAGCTCTGAAGTCCCCCATTTTCTTATTGAGGTAGAGTTGCTACTCCCACGACCTGACCCAGCCTCACCCCTTCACTGTGGTACACCGAGCCAGGTCAAATACCTGCTAGCAAGCCGATGCCTACAGATGGGAAGGTGAGGTTCTGTTTTGCTCACTTGAGCTCCTCTTCCCACTTCTGATGCCTCCCTGGGGTGTGACTTTGTTTCTGTTCATGTGAGTCAGAGGGATGGATGAGTCAGTAGCAGGACATAGGTCTCCACTCCTCATCCTGCTGCCTTGCCACTGGACCTGAACTGAGAACTCTTCCCCCGACACTAACCTGTATCTTTAAAACTCTGAAGTCTCCTCCAAAACCTGTTCTGTAAGGAGGGTATATTCATACTGTGTTAAGGTTGGAGCTCCAAGAACCACTCCCCAGGGCTTTTGAGCATCCCTTACTTAGCTAAGAGCCCTTTGAGGACCCTGCAAGGGTCTAATGTTAGGCTCATGGGCCATGACTCCTCAGGGCAGAAGATGCTGCAGAGCATTACTTGGACCTGCTGGCCCTGTTGCTAGATGACTCGGAGCCAAAGGTGGGTATATCTTCAAGATTCTCTACAGTTGGGATAGGAAAGGGTTGGAGTCTCCTTTGGAGTAGAGCAGGGCTGCTATTCTGTTTTATCTTCTTCTGTCTGTCCAGAGTTGGGGGCCAGACCAGGAAGGCTTCCCAGAGCAAGGAATCCAGGGCAGCAAGCAGTGGGTGGTTTCCATATGGTACCAGAGCCTGGTGAAGAGGTTGGGAGTGGAGGCCTATATTAGTTCAAGACGCTGCATCTTTCTCCCACCCCAGTTCTCCCCACCCCCCCACCCCCCAGGGCCCTGTATGCCTGAGATGTTCTTGGAGGCAGCAGCAGCACTGATCCAGGCAGGCCGAGCTCAGGATGCTTTGACAGTATGTGAGGAGCTGCTGAGCCGCACGTCATCTCTGCTTCCCAAGATGCCCCAGCTATGGAAAGATGCCAGAAAAGAAACCAAGGAATCACCACACTGCCCAACCTGGGTCTCTGCCACCCACCTGCTTCTGGGCCAAGCCTGGGTGCAACTAGGGGCCCAAAAACAAGCAATTAGTGAATTTAGCCGGTGAGCCCTAGAAGCCAACCAGGGTCCCTGGGGAAGTGTGAAGGGATAAATTTTTATTGGTGAGCTCCAATCTTACCTATGCACCCGAGTTTCTGAGCTTGACTCCTTTTCATCTCTGCTCTATGTCCCACTTCAGGTGCCTTGAGCTGCTCTTCCGAGCCACACCTAAAGACAAAGTACAAGGTGATCTGGACTCTCAATCTTCCTCTTTCCTCCTAGAAGTGGTGGTGGTAGATATCAGTTCCCTTTTCATGTGTCCTAGCCCACCGGGAAATTTAAGAGAAAGGGACTCTGGACACAAGAAACATAGAGGGGGACTTTCTGTGGGGAGGGTTTTAGTGACTATATGGCTTGAACATACTTCTTGACTTTGGGGGTGGTCCCCAGGGCCTGCTTCCAACTGTGAGCAGGGCTATACATCAGATGTGGAACTACAACAGCTTCGGGCAGCTGCCTTGATTAGTCGTGGACTAGAATGGGGGGCCAGTGGCCAGGATACCAAAGCACTACAGGACTTCCTCCTCAGTGTGCAGGTGTACCCAGGTATGTATACTTGCATGATGTTAGCCATGCACAGGTGCGCAAAGATGTCCATGGGGGAGGTACTAAGTGATGTTCCTATGTAGGAGGGGTGAATGGGATTGTGCTGTATATACCTAGGGATATACCTAAGTGTACAGACATACACAAGACATACACAAGTGTGTATGAAGGCCTCTCAGAAGTTCCCCAGTCTTCCCAATGTCCTCAAACACAAAGACAATGACTACATTGGGAATGTGTTATGCAGGAGCAGAATTAGCTGAGCCCTTTGCCCTGGGCAGGCAGTTCTTAGGTATAGGAATAGTCAGGAATGATCTACTCCTGGTTCAGTGTGTGACTGTAAGCAAGGCATTTCCTTGCTTTATACCTCAGTTTCCCCTTTTATAAAAATGCTTAAGACTGGGTCAAGTTCTAAGACTCTGTACTCTGGGGTGGGGCTACAGGTAATGGAGATGCTTCCTTTCATCTGCTTCAGACCCTGAAGAGGCTGGATCGGAGGGATGAGGCCACTGCTCTTTGGCAGAGGCTGGAGGTCCAAGATAAGTTGCCACAGGAGAATGCTACATGGTGAGGCTGAGGCCTGCTGGGCTGAGGCCAGTTGGTATTCTGGAATTGTGGGCCCATCGGGGAGGGTGGCAGTGAGTGAAAGGGCGGGAAGGCTGCTCAACCTTCTGTCTATCCTTCACTCTTAGGCCTCACCCTTCTTGCTTTCCAGGTCTCTCCCCTTGTACCTTGAAACCTGTTTGAGCTGGATTCGTCCTCCTGACCGTGAAGCCCTTCTTGAAGAGTTTCGGACATCTCTGCAGGAGCCTTGTGACCTGTAGCTGCCAAGTTTTGAAGAGTCTGAGCTTGGGCCCCCAGTGGGCCATCTTTCTGTGGGGAGGGCTTTCTGCTTTACCATCTTTGGGGAATGTGGCTGGAGCTGACCATTCCTATATGAGTCTGACTTTGGAGAGGTTGGTGGTACGCCTGCAAAATTTTTTGGCCTAGTTACTGGCATCTGGTTCCAGAGGACCCCCCCTTCCTCTACCGCCACCAATAAGGCATTGACTTTGCTCATGGCACCTTTTTTTCCTGTTTCCCCTTTTCTTGTGTTCAGTAAAATCTCATATCTATCTCTTGTCTGCTTACTACATATACTTGAGTAGTAAGCAGACTATTCAAGGGAAGCTCACAGCTGTCTGATTTAGTTAAGTGCTGGCTGTCTGAGGTGCCCTCTCCCAGCATCATCTACGGTATGATTTGAGGTTTGGGGTAGAAGAAAGGGCTACAGGAATTCTTACTCAGAAAGCAATAACTTTAGTCCTTCTTGTTGCCTAAAAGCAGAGCCCCAAAGTCCAGGATCCTGTGTGAGGTGACAGAATGAGTGGAGGTGGATCTGGAAGGTGGTCTAGGCAGGTCTGTCTTGACAAGGGCAGGTATTTGATTCTTAGAGGGGGAAACAAGCAGATGTGAGTCTCTGAGTGACTTCCCAACCCCTCCCTTAATCCTAAATTCTAGAAATAGGAGAATCGACTGCCTCAGTCAGATGAGTCTTTGGAAAAGGATGAAAAGTGAATCCAGTTAGTGTGCTATCAGAGTTGCCTATTAAATATAGCCAGGGCTAGCTGGTATTTTAGGCCCAAGAACTTCAAATTGGCATGCAATTTTCTTACAGCTTTGGGCTCTATTGAATGTTATGTGTTTTGTGGTATCCTTTTGATTCCCTTTCTGGATTTGAGTGCCCTCCCTCCTCAAACCATTAATAGTAATATCCAGTGGTAAGAGAAAGAAAGCATGGACCTCCAAGTTCTGAGGAACTGTAAAGTCTTGTCAGATTAGGGTTACCAGAGGGTTCAACTGAAGGATAGAAGCAGATTAAGAGCTGGGTTGCTGCCCTGACTTGTATGGCTCGGTTGGGTGTCATCCTTCAAAGTGAAAGGATGCTGGTTCAGTTCCCAGTTGGGGCACATGCCTGAGTTGTGGGTTCAGTCCCCAGCTGGGGTGCTACAGGAGGTGATTGATGTTTCTCACATCATGGTTTCCTTTTCTCCCTTACCCTCTCGGTAAAATTTAAAAAAAACAAAAACTGATGTATTAGTCAAAGGGTCTCAAAGTAGGTAGGGGGTGGCTTGAACCAGAGTTTTGAAGGTGCAAGGAGGGAGGTTAGGGTGAATCCTCAGGTTTTGGAAGAAGATAAGGGTGTGTGTTACCACTGCAACAGTACTAGACTAATACAGGGGTTCAATCCATTGTGCCAGTTTTTTTCCCAGCACAAAAAATTCAAGAGCCAATGAACTGGAGCCAAGTGGGAGAGTCCGCCTCCAAGGGATTAAACACTCCTCTCGCCAGTCGAACTGGCCCCATTCCTTTCATTAATTGGTCGAGAATCACAATCCATCGAGGAAGCGCAGTGTTGGAGCCAATTGACGTGGCGTTACCAGACGTGTTGCATCCCTGAGGCGGGAGCCAGGCCAAAACGAATTTCCTGATTGGCTCTGGCCCGCGAGTTGCTGGGGAGAGGCACTGGGAGGCGGGCGGAAGTCCCTAGGGCAGGCGCTGATTGGCTGAGGTTAGAGCACCTCTTCTTCCGATGATTCGGCTCTTCTCGGCTCGGTCTCAGTGAAGCGTCTGCAGCCGTCGTTTGAGTCGTCGCTGTTGCTGCCCACTCGCGGGTCAGGAATCAACGTCTCCTGCCCGCCCACCGCACGGGTGCAGCTGGGAGGAAGTGAGAGGGAGGCTGCCTGCGGGTTTGTTGCTGCTGCTCGCCACCCGCCGGGGAGAGCCGAGACCCAGTCCAGTCGGTCGCCTGCCACCCCTTGTAGCCGTTACTCGCGGGCCGCCACAGCCGCCGGCCGGGAGAGGCGCGCGCCATGGCCTCGGGAGCTGAGTGAGTGCGTGTGTGTGTGCGCGAGACCCCCCCGCTTGCTGTGGGTGCGCGCACCCGAGGGCCCTTGGGCGCTGGGTAGGCCCGGCCGGGTTTGTCAGTGGAAGCGTCTAAGAGGTGGAGACCAAGAAAAAGGGAGACTTTGGAAAGAGAGGAAGGGGGCGAAGGAGGGGCTGTGCCCGGGCTCCGCAGGTTTACGCACCCGCGCGCCCCCTAGGCGAGGTTTGCGTTGGGCCTGGGTCCGGGCCTGGGCCAGATCATGCTGTGTCATGCAGGCCCCGGCCGGCCTGATTGGCTTCCTTGGAACCGCCGTCCGGGCCTGGGAGGTCTGCCGGCCCACACTGCCGGTGCGAAGCCCTGGGGCCTCGGAGAAGCCCCTTGCGATTAGGCCTACCACCCGCTGAACGCTTTTGGTTCCCGGAGAGCAGGCCCCAAAGCCCTAACCGGGCCCGGTGGGCGTGGACTGTGGGCCACGTGAAGGCCTTCGGAGACTGGAGACGCAGGGAGAGGCCGGAACCTGGGAAGGCCGGGCAGCGAGCTCAGGGAAGCTTACCACGGGCCTTTTGGAGCCCGGTCTACTGGGTCCGGGGTTAGCATCCTAGGCCACCTGAGTAGTGAGGGAGAGAGTGAGCTCAGCTTTTCGCTTCTGACCTTCCTACTTGAGGTCGGTTGTTACTTATGAGAAAGCTTTAGTCAATTTTTCTTGATGAAATAGGCGAAGGGAGAAAGACAGTTTTTTCATTTCTCTGCTATTTTAGGTGTTTGCTGTATCGTTCGAATCTAAGTTCCTATTTTCTGGGCCTTAATGGATTTCAGCCCTCGTGGTGTGAAGGCTAGAGTTGCCCAAACTCTAACTCATACAGATTTTTACCCCCCAAGCTGGCTATGGTTAAATCCTGGGCGAGGCCTCTACCCCTGAGAAAAGCATCAGATAAAACCTGACCACCTCTTGTCTACTGGGTTTATAATCAAGAGCTTTACATAATGGGAAAAGAAAAGACACAGTCAACCTCTGAAAACTCTTCTATGCAAATCACCTTCCTGACATAAAGAGATTTTTTTTTTGGTGTGTTCCTTTTTTTTTTCAAATTTCTCAATCGAGATGGAGTACCATATTTTGCGGTGTGTAATGTGCACTCTTTTGTCCAATTTTTTGAGGGAAAACTAAGGATGCGCGTTATATATGAGTAGTACATGAAATACCTTGTATCTGTTCCTGTGTTTTGTAATTATTTGTTAAGTAAAGTTGTTTAATGTACCATATATTGAAAAGTAAATGCTAAAATTCCTTTATACAAAAACAAGTATCTAAATATAAATAAATTAAAATAGAATTTAAAAAACTTCCCCCGAAAGTTTGCATGTACATTATAGAAGGCAAAATATGGTATCATTCAGTTGCCTATTTATTTTTTATTTTATTTTATTTTTAATTTATTTTTTTATTTAGTTATTTTTCAAGTACAGTTTTTTTGTCTATTTCTCCCATCCCAGCCCCCTCCCCCAGTTGCCTATTTAAAAGGAACACTTATTAATACTTAAAATATTCCTTTAGGTTATTCAGTCAGTTTTTTGTTTTCAAGACTAAAAATAAAGACCCAAAACTCTTAAAATCTGGCATCATAGATTGTTTCTAACTTCTATGTCATCCTGATGACTCTTGCCTGAATTCCTTCCAAGTTCCCTTGTAGCCCATTCGGGTTCTGGAAAGGGTCTGATTCACATAAAAGAGAATGTAAGGTGTCCCCAAAGAGCTTCCAGGACCACTCTTGGGTCATGATGAGGCTGAATTCTCTCCTTTAGAGGTTCCTTTGATCTCAGTAGAAGGATGTGGCATTGAAGGTCTTTATCTTAAGGGAGGAGCATACCACTCATTCCCAGTGCTAGGGTCAGGAAGGGTAGGCAGATTGGAAGTTTTCTTCGACTGCATCTTTAGAGTTAAAATACAAAGTATGATGGTTAGAAGCATCAGCCATTTCACTTTTTTTCCAGCCCTAATCCTGCAGGTCAAGCAGGAAGATGGGCAGCCTTTGGGCAGTATTTTGAGGTGTGAGGGAGAGGAAGAATTGATGGGTTTCAGTTGCCCTTAGCGGTCACATTGACCATGATTGCTTTCCAGGGTTGGGAAGCCCTGGGAAGATTTGTCTACGCTGAAGCATTATGCCCAAAGTGCCGCACTTCTGGGTTGGGGGAGCAAGTTTAAGCCTAGGAAATTCCATTCTTGGAAACTAGTTTAAAGGTGATGATTAATCACCTTTAAGTGAGTGTCGACCTATGTGACTGTCAGCAGAAAGTTTACAGTTTCATTGGATGAATGGGATTTGTTGTTTTTGTTTTTTTGGTGTGTCAGGACCAAAAGATATAAAAATCCCATAACTTCACAGGTATTCTCTAGAGCATAGGCATCTCTTTTTCTTGCAAGTTGTGAAGATATTTTCTAAGAGGAATACTATTTTGTCTTGTTTTGCTAACCAGTGTAGCCCTGGATCTCATTACAGTATGTAGCATGTTTATATGTGTGTGTGTGTACATATACATACACACATATAGTTGTTATTAATTTGTTGAATGAAGAAATAATTCATGAAGATCTTTTTTTTAATTTTTTGCTTTCTCCATTGTCTAGCCTCCCTAGGTTAATGCACATGTTTTCCTGAGCCTTACTGAGAGGAGTAGTTCTTCAAAGGGAGAGCCCACTGAGTTTAGTTAGTGGAAGGCTGGAAATAAGCTAGGTAAGAAATTAGTGTCAGGTAAATAATCTTAACTTCTAGGAAGTAATTGAAATTGGACAGTTTAAATCAAGTTTAGACTCAGGCAATCTTAATTTGGGTGAGAAGGACTTTGAACAAGTTCATGCAGTTGTATGGCTTTACAGAAATCACCTTTTGAGCTTAAACCTCTTTCTGAAGGTTCTAGATCTGTTAGTTTTGTTTTTTGTTATTTTTTCCGCCCTCAAATATGATGGTCGTTATGTTCGGCATTCCTGTGATATATAGAAAATTCTCACATCAGGTTTAGCCAGTAAAAGAGAGTAGAGCTAATTTTACTTCATTGTCCCCAGCCTTGCTTGATGGGTCTTGGGGTGTCCCTGAGCCCTACGATAAGTTGTCTTGCCAACTTTGTTTTGGCAGGAAGCTTAGCAAAGGAAGGGCTTGTGCTTTGTTCTATAGTAATTAATTATAGTGACCATTAATACCATGTTCCAGGCATTGTGTTGAACACTTTGCATTCATTATCTTACTTAGGACA